CGCCGTGGTTTCCTTTCGCTGGGCTGCTTGGGCGCACTCGGAGGATTGCCGATGCCCTTAATTCTCTCTTTAGCTTCCAAAATGGATGACACAGCTTTCTTTGTCCATTGAGTTTCCTCCCCAAACATGAGCTCGTCCTCTTTCTCTTGCTGCTGCAGCGCCTCAATTTCCTCGTCGTACTGGTCAGTCACATATTCCTCGCTCCCTTTCATCACACGTGCGTAGTCCATGACCTCCGCAGCAAAGTACCAAGGGATGTCTTCAGCTTTTTCCAAAGATTCAGCCCCGTCTCGAGGCAAAGCAAGCGTACTTCCAGGCTGCCGCATTATCAGTCTAAGCACAACATCGGCCCCTTCTTGGGGTCGCTCTCCCTCTTGTCCAGTGAACCATCGGACAGGCCGAGTCTCCGAGATGTATATACTATCCCAACAAATGGGACACTTTTTCCATCTTGCTTTCTTCTCAGGTGTTGGGCCGGTATCATCAGACGAGTGCATGAATCGAATCAGGCATGGTAGACAGAAAATATGCCCACATTTGGCCATTCGAGGAGCCACCGGGGTCGACAAGCATATGGGACAATTGGTTGATTGTGATTGAGCAGAAACAAGGATCTGCAAAACGTTACTCCAGTCTAAATGCACATCTGCGTCCACGCCTTGGGCTTGGTAAGCCCCGTTCGGATTGACAATGAAGCGGTAGTTGGCATGTATGTATCTTGCTGTTTATGAGCGTCGAATTTCAACCACATGTGCACGGAAGATCTGCCTACTTGGCCTTATCCTCAGCATGATAGCCAGATCCCAGCCCCCAAGTGGGGTTTCGTCTTGTGTTGCGACCGAAGTGATGAGGTTGGTAAGACTGAGGTCGAGGGGGTAAAGTGAAGTTCATCAAATGGGTTATCGAAGTCCGTCCTTTCCGACTATTGGTAGACTGCATGGCCGCCTATCCATCACGAGGTGTCAGTCGCCGTCTGTAACATTTCTGTCTCAGGAATGTGGGTTCTGGCTCACGGATTCAGCAGCAGCATCCTCATCCGCAAGCCTGGGCCGCCTTTGGCCTTTGTGTTGTTTCTTCAGGGACTGGTTGTTCCTCGCAGTGGAGGATATGGACCGCGACGTCGATCCTATGCCGAAGCTTCCCGAACCACCAATCCGGCGCTGTGTATGACCCTCGATCCCAATGGAAGACCCGCTTTGCGATTGTGAGGGCGAAGGCGTCTGGGATGGATTGCACGCGTTCTTTGAAGCCAGAGAGACCGACGAGTTTGCTGACATCGCGTTCAGTTGAGGTCCTAGTAGGGCTCGAATGTGATTTATGTACAAGGTATGAGATATACAGGAACAAGTATTGAACGCACTTTCATCTGTGTGTCTTATGGGGTGTACAGGCCCCAAAAGGGACGTTGTTGTTGGTAGGGTGGAGGGGCAAGATGACTCGCAGTCGAGGTCTAGCCCTAGCGCCGTTTGGTGCTTGGCGGTTTGGATAGACGGAAAATAACCTAAGTAGATAATACCGTCCAGCAAACGACAGCCTCGACCATCATTGTTTGACGCCTGCTCGCAAGACTATCCCAGATATCTTCTGCGAAAGGCACCTATAGGCATACCTCCTGCTTTACCGCTTCCACAATGACATCTCAATGCCGGACGGCATATGCCATGTTGACTTAGAAAAGAGATTGTTGCGCGCCGAGAGTCGTTCTACGTCCCCCTCTGGGGCACACGGCCATGAACTCTCACCAACCCATCTTACCACAGGTGCAGCCAGCTATACCTCTTTCCAATGGCCGACCTGGGCACAATGCTCCCTACGCCCCTTCCCCTCATCCTCCGCAGCAGCCGCCATACTACCAAGGCTATCAATATCAATACCCTGTCCATTACCAGCGGCCTCCGCAGCAATGGACGCCCTATCCAGTACCCATGTCCATGGGAAGGGGTTACCAGCAATATCCTTCGATAACACCCTATCCAATACCACCACACCTGCCACCTATGCGTCCATCATCACAACAAGCCCCCTCATCATCTTCGATACGTTCGGTCCAAGGCATGCTCTCACCATCTTCGTCCAACACGTCCGTACACGTACCTTCATCCACACCCATGACTGTGTCGAACCCGTACCGTGCTCCTCCGACGCCTCCACCACCTCCATCCGTGCCACAGCCGTCTCAACGGACTCCTTTTTACCCACCTCTTCCTTGGCAATCATTCGAAGGCGCCTTCCCTTCTAGAGCATCTCGAAGAAGAAGAAAAACGCCCGCTCCGCAGTCATCAAGCGTTCCTGTTGAGCTTCCTTCTCGTCGAGCATCCATCGGCGATGCTGAGACTGTACCTGACGAAGCTATGTTAGCTGTCGAAGCTCCACCTCCCATGCAAGAATCCTTACGCGACCCTCCTGTTTTTGAGACCCCCTTGACATCACAACCTCCATCAGAAGCTCTGTCTACCCAGCCGACCACTCCTTCCTCTGAAATTACTCCAAAGATGAATGCCTCAAGTCGACCGAGCATCCCTTTACTTCCTATAGTGCCTGCGGTCCCAAACCTTCCATTAGCCTCGCGGCCATCCAAGCGAGCCTCAGCTAGTGCCGCTTCCGATGTAATGAATGGCGTACCAGCGAACGCTGATCACCTCGCCAATGCTGTCGAGACTGCTGCTAAAGTCAATGCGGAGGGGAGCGAAGACCCGGCCAAGTCTGTAGAGACTGTAACTTTGCCTCCTGTTAAAGCCGCACCAAAGTCTTGGGCAGACCTCGTTCGAACTATGGGACAGAACACTACAGCTAGAACAGCTCAAGCTCCTAGTGACTCCGCAGCTCAGACCAATGGCTTTACCCCAACCAAAGCCGGGTCTTTGGCCGACGCCCTTAGCTCATACAGCGTGAAGGAGAATAACGAGAATGCGAAAATAGCTTTCCTGGAGCCGAGAGGCCTTGTTAATACTGGCAACATGTGCTACATGAATTCTGTAAGTCCTAGTTGCTCCTCGGTATTTTTAAACGCCTCTAATCAGTCCAATAGATTCTGCAGGTCCTTGTTTTTTGTATACCATTCTACAATTTTCTCGAGAAAATCGGAAGACAAGCGGCACATAGCTTCAAAAGTGATACTCCACTCATGGACGCCATGTAAGCCAGTAGTGAAGCCATGTGTCAGCCGAGTAGTATTGACCTATTCTCAGGATTATGTTCATGCGTGAATTCCCTGTCATCGATGCAGCAGCTTCTGTTGACCAGCTTCGGATGCGTCTGAAAGAAAATGAGCTTGAGCAATATGGCGAAGCTTTCATTCCAGAGTTCGTGTACGAGGTCATTCGCCGACTACCTCGATTCTCGTCTATGCGAGTAAGTCTTTTGCTTATCTTGGATCGCTAAGACATTTACTGACCTCCATCAGCGTGGACACCAGCAAGATGCAGAAGAGTTCCTCGGCTTCATTCTGGAAGAGATGCATGATGAGTGCAGTCGGGCGATGAGATCACCCAATGCGAAAATGTCCTCTGGAGCGTCAACTCCTACTAACGGAGTGACATCCCCGACCAGCGAATCTACTGATCCTCATGCAATAGATGATGGGGTTTGGCAGGAAGTTGGACCGAAGCAGAGAGCTGCCATTACTAGATCATCAGGAGCGATTGCCACTGAATCACCGGTTACCAAGATCTTCGGTGGAAAACTTCGCTCAGAATTGCGTGTACCAGGCATGAAGAACTCGGTCACACTGGAACCATACCAGCCCTTACAGCTTGACATTGGCGCACCGCACGTCAGCAATATCATAGACGCATTGAAAGGGTTGACTAAGCCAGAAACGCTTCATGGCGATTTCAACTCACCGAGGGGCCCAGGTTCAACGGCCACCAAACAGGTCACCGTTGAAACTCTGCCACAAGTGCTCATCCTTCATCTGAAGCGTTTTCAGTACGACAGTAGTGGCGGAACTCAGAAGATTTGGAAGAAAGTGGGCTACCCCTTGGACCTTGAGATTCCGAAGGAGGTCTTCCCGCAACACAAAAGGGGAGGTTTGCTCGCTCATGGAGGCTTGCCAAAATATCGTCTCATTAGTGTTGTATATCATCACGGGAAGAATGCTAGCGGAGGTCACTACACTGTCGACGTGCGGCGGCAAGAGGGACGGGAGTGGATTCGACTCGATGACACGGTCATAAGGCGAATTAGAAGCGAAGATGTGGCGGAAGGCGGGAGCGAAGAGGATCCTAAAGTTCTAGCTGCTGCGCTGGAGCAGCACAAAAACGGTCAGCATCAGAGCAGCAACGTTTATGAACAGTTTGCAGCGGAAGAAGAGGAGCAGAAGCAGGCGGAGAAAGGATGGAGTCAGGTCAATGGCGTGGCCTCGACTTCGTCTTCAGTCGGCAAGAAGTGGTCAGGGGTTGCTAATGGGAATGAGATACCCAAGATTTCATCTGGAAAGATGACTCCTGTTCATCGGGCGTCCGTCAAGGACAACAAAGTCGCATACATTCTTTTCTATCAGAGGGTGAATACATAGGGAAAAAGTCGACTGTTGCAGTCCTCGTGTGCTTGGATGCATATACCCAGAGGAAAGGAAAAGCGCATTCATTTTGGTAGAGTGAGTTGGCGATGTAGAAGAGTCGCAGCAGATGGGCACATGTTGGCAGCAGCTTTCACTAATGCACACAGCTTGCTGTGTATGCTATACTTTACATATGATTGTATATACTTTAATTGAGTGGATACAATGATTGCTACTCTGTACGTTCATTGGTGTGGAACTCCAGGAGGTGCACGCGAGGGCTACCGGACTCGAAACAAAGGACAAAGCGGTTCATTGCCGTGATCACACGGTCAACGCTGCTTTTTGAGTGAGTTGTGTGACCACTTCCATCTCTAATTGTACATTAAATTGGAAAACCCTCTAGGCCAGCAGGGGATATCGTCCCATTCAAGAGTAGGCCAGGTTGGCTATCCACCGCATGAGTGCTCCCTTTTCAGACCGCATTTCCGGGCCCTTATCACGTTAGAAGGATGTCATAACCGTGCTTCTTGATCTTTACAGCTTCCGCTTCATTACCATACCGTCTCCTAACGAGCTCAAAGATCACAAGGCCGGCGCTAGTACTTGGGACTTGCTTGATAGTGTTCACGAGAACCCCCTTATAAAGCCACCTTAGCCAACCGCCAGAACGGCGGGCGTACACCAGACATTGGTCATATGTCTTCTTGTAAGCCCCGTAATAGCTCCGCAACATCGCGGCCTTGGGTTGATCAATCTTGGCCTGTGAGTCTAAGAACGCGAGCGACTTGTAGTGGACGTTCTGGATTAAATTGAGTGGATGCTGGACGATCTGTTGACTTATTGAGGCTGCGATTCCGGCAAGCATCAAAAAGGTCGGCTCGATGGCGTAGTGCGGTTTGATGGCATCGATGGGCCCAGTCCCATCCAGTTTGGGACTCAGAATTGGGGAAAGTAGATTGCTCTGTAAGTCGCCGTAGTATTTGGCCACGAAGCCGTAGTAAGCCTGGGCTTTGACATACTCGAAGGTTGCGAAAAAGGCCGCATAGCCGAATGAATCTTTGACAAGAGACAGGCCCCAACCCGCGAATACACCACGAGGACCGATCTCGCGGAGCTTGCTGCGGCCGTATTGCCACATCGTGTTATATTTGCCGCTCAAGACCTCGCTGGTACGGAAGCGAACGGACAGAGCGTCAAGAGGAGCCGCTATCACTGATCTGCATCCAGATTGCGGGTCAGTATCTGCCTGTTCAGGGGGGAATACCGAGCCTGGAAAAATCTCTAAGGTGAAAACACTCCCAAGACTTGTTTAAGACTCGAATCTCTGTTCAAGAAGAAAGGACATGTGCACCGAGGATACGTACTCTGCGCAGATCTCGGAGTCAGCATTGTTTATTTGGGGTAGGAAATGGAATTGCAAGACAGGTCTGAGGACAAGAAAGATTTTCTGGCTCTCGAAATATATCGTTCGACTCAACTTCATTACGAAATAGAAAGGATCAGCTCCGAAATGTACGTACGGACTACGCCGGCAGAAAATCCGGCTAAGGCTGTGCAGTAGACTGGTGGAGGTGGATAGATTCTCTTCAGCGATTGCGAAGAGGGGTGGTGCAGAGTACCTAAGATCTGGAGATAAGACGTGTACAGAACTGCTCCAACTCTACCACTTGTCAGGCATTCAAGGCTACTAGCGTGGAGAGAAGAGGGGGCATTACCCAACATTTGCAAGCATGGGCGGGAGCACATGGTTGGGAATGAAGGTCCATCCGTACTATCCAATACGTCAGAGTCAGAATGTTGTCTTTCTTCGAGGCTAAAGACTGTTCTTATGACGACTGCGGCAGTAAGAAAGGAGCTCTCGCCCCCCAAACAGGCCTTGCACTCATACAATGGTCTCTGATATGAAAATATTGCTGAAATGTACATACAGTTCGAACGGCATGAGTACTGGATTATGAACTCAGGGTCAGTCTTGCTTGTTTGAGGGGGCATGGCGAGCCTTGAAACACGTCTAGAGAGTGAACACTCCCAAGACATCTCTCAAGCCTCAAAATTTAGTTCAGAAGAAGAAATATGGACTCCGAAAATACGTACAGAAGCCCAGGCGTACTCATTCGGAGAGACCAACTTTCCTGAGCCTGAACTCGAGGATTGATAGCCCTTGCGAAGGCCTGACACTGGCTTCAGCAGCTCCTCAAAACTATCAAGAATGCATCGTACTAGGTAGCTACACAGAGATAAGCATGGCCATCTCTTCTACACGTAACACTGAACTCACTCAACACGAGTACGAAAGAAGGCCTTCGCTGGAGCCCTGAAATAGAAGGCTACCGTCTGAGAGGCAACAGCTCGCACTCCTGATGCGGATGCTCCGGTGGCGGCATTGCTTTTTTTGTCTCTTCGAGGACTATTTGGTATATCCGAAGCCGAATCTGTGTTTGATAATCCTTTGGTCGACGTCCCAAACATCCTACTCCCAAGCCATCTGTGTCACTGGATAGGAATATCACTTGCTCCTTACCTACTTCCGATCTCAAGGAAACACGCATCTAACGGTTCTGTGATTGCCTGCGAGGTTGAGATGAAGTGAAGGTCGGTGCCTGCCACGCTATACCCGTTTCGTAATAGGGCGCTAAGCTTCATCGGCGTCTGCAGCCATTTTACGCGCTTCGCGCTTTCCACCTTTCACCTTTCACTGACACTTCTCCACCTTACTCTTCACAACACTATCATTCTTTTTTCATTTTCCTCCCACCATAGTTCGTCTAGAGCCCTCGAGAAAATGGGAGACGAAGTCAAGATAGACAAGGACACCTTCAACAATCGGCTCTCACACTTTGTTTCGACATGGAAGGGCGACAAACGACAGTCGAACGACGCGCTGTTCGGCGGCGTGGGGTCCATAGTGGTTCTCTTGGGTAGGAATGAGGAGAGTCAGTCGTTTCAGAAGAACAACGCCATGCACGTATGTGCTACTACTAGAATGCCCCTTGACGTCAAGAGCTTACACAGGTGATTGCAGTTCTGGCTACTTGGATATGAATTTCCTGCTACTCTAATGGTCTTCACATTGGAGTCCCTCTATATCGTCACTACTTCGAAGAAAGGTACGTGGCAGCCGAGCTGCGCGCGGCTTCTGGACTGACTTGAAATTTTCTAGCTAAACACCTTGAGCCTCTGAAGGGTGGCAAGGTCCCGATCGAGATCCTTGTCCGCGGCAAGGACGCGGAACAGAATGCGAAGCAGTTTGAGAAGTGCCTCGATGTCATCAAAGGCGCAGGAGTACGTTACATGGTCCATTGTAGTTGCTGTACAGGTTCGCTGACATCGTTCAGAAGAAAGTTGGGATCATTGCCAAGGATGCCTCAGCAGGGCCATTTGCGGAGGAGTGGAAGAAGGCTTATGGTGACATCTCCAAAGAGGTTGAAGAAGTCGACATCTCCCTGGCTCTTTCAGGAGCCGCCTTTGCAGTGAAGGATGAAAACGAGCTGGTGGGTCCCCCAATGCGTATCCATGTTCAGCTCAGAAGGTCGCTTATACTGAGCAGCGGAATATGCGAAACGCGTCAAGGGCTTGTACGGGACTTCTATCAGAGTTCTTCGTCGAGGAGATGTCAGGAATCCTGGATGCGGAGAAGAAAGTGACGCATAAAGAACTCTCGGATAAGATTGACCAGAAGCTCGATGACCAGAAATTTTTCCGAAATCTGAAGACCAAGCTACCATCTGATTTCGACAACAGCCAGCTTGACTTTATGTACGGACCAATGGTTCAGAGCGGTGGGAACTACGACCTTAAATTATCAGCGGCTTCTGACACTAACAATCTACATCCCGGTATTATCATCGCTGGTCTTGGCCTTCGGTACAAGAGCTACAGCTCGATGGTAGCTCGCACGTTCTTGGTGGATCCCAACTCGTCTCAGGAAGCGAATTACAAAGTGCTTCACAGCATACAAGATACGCTCATTCAGGAGGCGAGGGAAGGTGTTGTCATCAAAGACCTTTACAACAAAGCCCTGAATATCATCAAGACAAAGAAGCCGGAACTGGAGAAACATTTCCTGAAGAGTATAGGTGGGGGGATTGGTATCGAGAGTCGGGACTCAACCCTCATTATAAACGCAAAGAATACCAGACAGCTTAAGGATGGAATGACACTGAATATCGCCCCTGGCTTCACCGACATTGAGAACCCAAGTCCTCAGGACAAGAAAAGCAAAGCTTATACACTCTTCGTATCGGACACTATCCGCGTCAAGGGACGATCCGAAGGCTCTGCCAACTTTACCAATGCCGCGGCATTGGAGCTCGGGGCAGTATCATTCTACTTCAAGGATGAAGAGGAAGAAGAAACGCCGGCGCAGAAGTCGAAAGCCAAGAAAGATCCCAAAATTGGAGCTGTGGCATCTAGCAACGTGGTGAAGACGAAGCTTCGTGCTGACCGCGCAAAACAGGTGGACGAAGGAGCAGAAGCACGGAGACGAGACCATCAGAAGGAACTCTCCCAGAAGATCCAGCAGAATGGCTTGGAGCAGTACAGCGAGGCAATCGGCGATGCGAATGGGGTGACACAGAAAAAATTCAAGAAATTTGAGTCTTACAAACGGGACAATCAGTTTCCTTCAAGGGTGGCAGACCTCTCGATCGTAGTCGATGTCAAGGCTTCAACAATCGTATTGCCAATCATGGGCCGGCCTGTGCCATTCCATATCAATACGATCAAGAACGCCAGCAAAAGTGACGAAGGAGAATTCTCCTATCTGCGAATCAATTTCCTCTCGCCTGGGCAGGGTGTTGGCAGGAAAGACGACCAGCCTTTCGAGGATGCAACAGCACACTTTGTGAGAAGCTTGACTTTCAGATCTACGGATTCAGATCGAATGCAGGATATCGCACAGCAGATAACCGACCTCCGAAAGAACGCTGTGCGTCGAGAACAGGAGAAGAAAGAGCTGGAAGACGTGGTTGAGCAGGACAAGCTCAGTGTTGTCCGAAGTATGTATTTTGATCCTGTCTTGAAGACAGATTACTAACATCACCCAGACCGTAAGCCAGTGGGTCTCGACAATGTCTTCGCCCGGCCTGGCCTTGACGGCAAGCGTATTGCTGGTGAACTGGAGATCCATAATAACGGTCTCCGCTACCACGACCATCGTGGCAGTCAAATTGACATCCTCTTCAGTAACATGAAGCATCTCTTCTTTCAACCCTCTACGCACGAGCTGATCGTCATCATACACATTCATCTGAGAGATCCGATCATGATTGGAAAGAAGAAGGCCAAAGATGTGCAATTTTATCGCGAAGCCACGGATATGGCGTTTGATGAGACTGGAAACCGAAAGCGGAAGCACCGTTATGGTGACGAAGAGGAGTTCGAGCAGGAGCAGGAGGAGAGAAGACGACGAGCGCAGCTTGACAAAGTCTTCAAGAATTTCGCAGAGAAGATAACGGCCGCTGATTCAGATTCCAAGGGGGTCGACATTCCATTCCGAGATCTGGGCTTTAGCGGTGTACCTAACCGCTCGAACGTGCTATGCCAGCCCACTACTGACTGCCTGGTGCAACTGACGGAGCCGCCTTTCATGGTACTCACCCTAGAAGAGATTGAGATCGTCCATCTGGAACGTGTACAATTTGGCTTGAAGAACTTTGACATGGTCTGCATCTTCAAAGATTTCAATCGACCGCCTGTCCACATCAACACGGTACCAGTGGAGAGCCTGGAGGCTGTCAAAGACTGGCTCGACTCCGTCAATATTCCATACAGCGAAGGTCCTCTGAATCTCAATTGGGGCACTATCATGAAGACTGTGATTGCGGACCCTCACCAGTTCTTTGTCGACGGTGGTTGGTCGTTCCTGACCATGGAATCTGACAATGAAGACGAGGAAGACGAGGAGGAAGAGTCCGCGTTCGAAATGTCGGACTCTGATCTTGCTGCTGACGTGTCTGAGTCCGAGGACGAATCGGAGTTCGATGACGACGCTTCTGCTGATGAAGGTGACGCAAGCGACGATGAGAGTGGTGGAGAGGACTGGGATGAGCTTGAGAAGAAAGCTAAGAAGAAGGACAGAGAGGGTGGTTTGGAAGATGAGGATTCCGGAAGGAAGAAGAAGCGGTAGATTGCCTTTACTGATTGGGGAACATTTACCTTTGGTCATCCACTTGATACGAGACTCGTCCTGGGCAGTTGTGTGTTTGACAGCCCACAGACGCAAGTTTCTCGGGCATTAAGCGTTGGTTAATTCCATCTGACGACGTGGTGTTAGTCATTGAGCAGCCTTTTGAATAGACAAGGATCACGATGAAATACCCTTCGCATATTGAGTCATTTCAGACCCAGCACGGGTTGGATTGAGGCATGGTCTCGGCGCTTCGTCTTTCAGATCTCGAACGTGTCCACTACTGGCTGCCACCAAACTCCAGAGGTCCTTCCAGCCTAGCCACGACCGTCATTATTCCTTCTCCAGCATCAAACCCACCAACTGGACTCGCGTCCACACGCCTTGAACAGACGGTCCAGACCCACGCTACTGCAAAGCACTTCGAATAGCTCGCTCGACAATAGACAATTTCCCTATCATTAATGAAGCCGTTTATGAATCTTCTTCAACCTTCCAATGCGGAGCAATGGGGAAAGGTGCCCATAGGCACATTTTATTTTTTCCCTCCATCCAACCCTGTGTTCAATGGCTCCCTCACCTCCAGCAGTGTCTCTTGCCAAAAGATCAAACCCCTCTATCGAAAACCGTGCCCGTTGATCGAAGCCACCGGAACTGTGCCGCCGCCTGTAAGATCTCCCAAAGCTTCAAACCCGGCTCAGAACCAACGGTATCTCTCAAATCAGATCTACACTCCAGTCCAACCAACATCAATACCCACCCCAAAAAAAACAAAAACCAACCCATCCATCCATCCAAACCCCAATCTCCAAAATGGGCCTCCGCATTCTCTCCCCCAACTCCCCTCCGTCCCAGACACCGCACTCCCAGACCGCCAATCCCCCCCCCCCCCATCTGCCACAAGCCCTCCCTACTCCCCCCACCCCAGCTGCCACGAGCCCGCCCTCCTTCCCCCACCCCGTCCGCCTCCCCTGCTCCCACACCATCGACTCCACCCGCCTCTCCCACCGCCTCCGCACCCACCCCCTCAACCACCCACGTGCCGCCGCCGATCACCCATCCCCTCCTCCTCGGCCCGCGCGATCCAGCATCATCATCATCGTCCCCGCCGCCGCCTCTTTCTCGTATGAAGTCGGCAGCTCTCGCGCTCCCGTCGGGATCTTTTGGCCGTTGACGGGTTCTCGCTCGGTCAGCCGGTCGGTTGTGGGATTCTTTTGTCCGTTGAGTGCGGTTGGGGTTGGGATTGGATTTTGGGCGGGGGTGGAGGAGGGGGAGGGGGGAGGGGGGGGGGAGGGAGGGAGGGGGGAGGGGTTTGATGAGGTAGGGGTGCGGGGGACGGGGGACGGGGGACGGGTTTTGATGAGGTTGATGAGGTTGATGAGGTTGGGGTGGGTGGGTGGGTGTGAGGGTGTAGGTGTAGAAGGGGGAAAGGGGGGTTGGTAAGGAGGGTGGAAGTGACGAGTGGGAATATGATAGGGAGATAAATTGTCGCGCACCCGAGAATCTTTCCAGAGCAGCGGTGCTGCTCAACGTAGTTTCCAAACACCGAACGCAACAACGGGCAATATGTTCGACAAAGTGCACGTGTTTCCCTAACTACTCCATCCTCCTTCCTATAAAGAAAGCGCTGCAATACCCCCCCCCCGGCCCACAACCGATGCTCCCATCCCCTTCCCCAATCGACCTCAAAACCCCAACCGGAACAGACCGAACATATTCTTCATCCGCGCCAACTGATCCGGCGAAAACCGGCTGTAGCTATACCGCACCGAGCGAGTGCAGATGTCAGTCCCTGTCTTTTTTCAAACGTTCTCCCCAATCCCCCCCCCCCCCCCCCACACCCTCCCGTGTCCCCCACGGTTCGCACACATTTTCAGGTTCGCAGCGGGGGTGGGGGGGGGGAAGAGAAGAGAAGGAGAGCGGATCCGAGACTTACCACGCGTCGGTCGAGTAATCCATGTAGTTGCTGACCGGGTCCAGACCCGGCGAACCGGGACAGCTGTCCTTGCCCGTCGGACAACCCGTCGTGCTCTGGCTCTCCTGCGGCGTGTCGTCGCAGTAGTCGCCCGGGTCGCCGGTCGCGCACGTGTTGTCCTGGGCGGAGGGCGAGTCAGTCGGTCGGTCGGTCAGAACCCATTCATTCATTCTCTTTCTCTTTCTCGAAACGAGCACGACGGCCATCGGGATTGCCGTTCGGGGAGATGGAGAGAGAAAGAAGAGAGAGAAAGAAGAGAGAGAAAGAAAAGAGAGAAAGAAGAGAGAGAAAGAAGAGAGAGAAAAACGATGAAACAGACCTGAAAAGTATGCAACAACCCGAACCAATGCCCCACCTCATGCACGGCCGTCTTCCCCAAATCGTACCCGAACGCCGGCACCGGGGCCTTGGGCATGCTGCCCGCCAGCACGTTGCACCCGTCGGTGGCGTAGTCGAGCGTCGGGTACTCGAGCGCCAGCCCGGCCGGGCCCGGGTACGTGATGGTGGTGGGCAGGGTGCAGTAGCCGAGCAGGGTGGAGGCGGCGTCGTAGGCGTAGGGGGCGGCGGAGAGGTTGGTCTGGAAGTAGAGGTTCAGGGCCTCGTAGTTGCCGCGGCGGAGGGAGCGCTTCATCGGGGTCGATTCGGCGTCCGTGGCCCAGGCGTCGTTGACGGTCCAGGTCGTCGAGATGAGCTTGAAGGTGATGCCGGCGGGGCGGTAGAGGCTGGTGAGGATGGAGACCTGGGGGGTTGGTGGGTGTTTTGTCAATTTCACAAGAAGAGTGGAGGGAGAGGAGGGGGGATGGGTGAGAAGGGGAGTACCTGGCTGGAAACCATGGAGGTCCGCACGCTGGATGGGTAGTGGTCCATTTGGTCGGTTGTGGAGACGAAGTGTATGTATGTTTGTACCACGATCGGCGAGCTTGCCTGTCGTTCCTTGTTGCCGTGTCGTGACTGCTCGAGGAAATCGGCGTGTGCTTGGCGGAGCTCATCGCTGGGGCCACGAGTGCCGCATACTTGGGTGACATTTTGAAAAAGGTTGACATTTCGACCTACAGTGCCGAGGGCTCGCTTGTCAAGAAGGTCGAGACTAGCACCAGCGGGATGGGCAAAGCTGGGATTGGCAGCAGTGGAGAGGAAAATTAACACTATTGGAAGAAGCATGATGCAACCGTCCTATATTTCTGAGGGAATCGGTCGGCAAGGGGTAACCTTGGAACGCAAAGTAGACGTTTATGAAGTATCAAAAGGAGAGAAGTCTACCTCGTGTTATACACCTCTACAGGAGAAGAGCTCAAAAGGGCATCTCAGAGCATCGGAGGTGGTACCGCTGAGGCTTTCACAATGTCAACCGAAGCAAAGATTGCAAAGGTCCTCTGCTCTCAGCGGCGCCTTCCTGTGTGCATGAACCTTGCATTGAATCTGAAGCTCAGTGGACTGCATCCGGATTCCCTAGGGTGAGCACAAAGGGATTCTTGTTGCTTTCCCAACGCCACTACCACCACTACCACCACTCCCCATCTTTAGGGCAGATCAACATCCCAGGCCAAAAATGTTGCAAACGAGGTTGTTTGGAAAGGAAATACGAAATTCTAGATTGCTATACCCTTTTCAGCTGCGCCTGTTCAAAATATCACCAGAACGCCAAACATTATTCCGGCAAAACGCACGTCGAGACGACGACGTTATATAAGTAGGTCATGCTGCATCATTACCTGGTCTTGAAATCCCGGTTGCGGTCGCTGTGCTGGGTTGGTCATTGTTCCATGACAAATAGGTATGGTCTCCGAGTTTGCTACATGGACGATATCGTCAGTCCGGCCAGCCACGATGTAGGAAAGTCTCCATTATACGTACCGGGGCTTAATGAGATGGGTCACTGTGAATAAGGCGCCGAGGACAATGCAGATGCCACCAACTGCCACATACGCTATCCCAAGGAAAGGATTCTTCCCTCCCATCACTGTTCGAGTGGATATGACCAAGGATTTGGTGCCTCCATATATGTCGACCGGAAAGTCTAGAATTCGTATTTCAGTATGTGATAGCAGATTGAGGCGGACAACATACTATTTTCGATATCCACCTGGTACATGCTACACTGCATGGTCTCATTATCGTTGCGCTTCGCCAGCTTACTGAAATTCGGAAGCCCAGCAGTCCTCATCCAAACCTGAAAAGCTTCGTCGCTTTCCAAGTCTGGTAAGTTGTCCGAGGTGTAACCGTCTTGGTATCGCAGATACCAGTTAGGTGGAGGAGTGATATCTGCAGGGTCGTATTTTGTAGGAGCATACAGAGCTTTATCGCTGCTCCAGGCGATACCATTTTCTGTCATGTTGTATGTAACGTTGAAGGCAGAACTATCGTGCACATTCAGCTGCACGGGATTTGCAAATGAATCGTTGAAGATTGAATTGGCGATGAGACCGCAAGGCCAGTACGGCTTCCCATTGGGGTCGGTGTTCAAAGGACTACACGCGCCAAGAGAATTGTTGTTTATAGCATCGCCCTTCAATTGATTCGAGTCCAGAGATTTAACGTATCGGCGGTGGTTTTGGTAGAAATTCGTGAGACGGTAGTAGAGGAGTACCGGAGGTTTGAGGTTGTCGGGGATGTTGAACTGCAATGAGCAGACCGAAGTATCCACAGGTTGGTCACTGTAGTAGGTACGGTTGATGTTGTATGATCTCCATTTGTATGTTGGGTTGCTTGAGCAATTCGAATTGGAGCCTTTGAATGACGACGAAGTATATTTGCTGGGAATTGTCTGGTATTCTGTGCTGTCAATCGAGGTATTTTGTGCCTCGTCCCGACAATGAGTATAGTCGATTGATATCTCTTGCACCTATCAACGTGTCCATTAGCAAGATGCGTGGGAGTGTGGAAAGTCTGATTGAGGTTGGCTGACTTGGGCACTGGCGTAGAGTAGAAGCCCTCCTATTGGAGCGAAGATGATTCCAACTATGAAGAAGAGAGGCAAAACCGTCTTGGGGGTAAGGATGGGTCTGCAAATTGTTCAGTAGTGGTCCGTAACGGGGACATGTAGCTGGTAGGAGGTCGCAGGCCACTTACTGCCACGCTTTCAGTCGCTGCTGCCGGAAGGCAGTATCTGTAGAGCCGCGAGGCTTTTGTCAGACACTGGACAAATCTTGAAAGTACCGGTCTACCGGCCAACGCTGTTTGGGAGGCGTGAAGGTGGTGAGCTTACTAGCTGGCCTTCTGTTCTTTGCCTTCTTCTGTACCTCATCGTGGTCTTGACCATCTACCGACTCCGTGTGTGTCTGAGTTTGCGACATTGTGCGATTGAAGTACGCATGAGTGCCTTCGGAACAGTATGCTTGTGGTTGGTAAGCTTGAGGTCGGCGGTTGATGGCAAGTGTGGCAGCACAGGTAGGCGTAGGGCTGACGCCAAGGACGTGCCGCAATCGAAAATACTTCATACGGATTATCTCGCATTACGTGCATACATTAACTCCGAATTAGCTCACGGGTCCTGCATATAAGATATGTATGGGTGTCATTGACTTCATTGCATTGGGTTGGACTAGATACAGGCTCAAAAAGAGAGCGAGCATAATGCTTCTGGCCCGCCATTCCAATCTCCCTCCCGGAGTCACTCCAATTCACGTGACATCAGTCAATTGCCTCCCTCCTTACTCTGTTCCCTTCGGTTCAAGTCGAGGCCAATCGTACGTGATCCATATCCTGTCATTATGTCCATCAAAACATTGCCCAGAGGCAAATAGAAAGCGAAAAGGGGTATCTGTGAGCTGAGTGCTGGACCGAACAATCTGTGGTCAAGAGCAATGATGAGCCGAACACCGTCGCTGTGAAGAAGGTGTCGAACCGAGTGGAGAGGAAACCTGAGATGCGCCTTGCCCGAGTCGATCGGTGAATGCGGGTCCTGCCCGTGGATGTTCCTGGAAAAAGTGGAGTGTCGTAATATCGGATCGCCTTATTCAATCTGATCGTCGTAGAATGAGTGTAGATGTTGAATTTGAAATTCGTAGATAGTGATTAGGGTGTGGGTGAAGCAGTGATTCAGAGATATTGTAAAAAGTAGCTTTTGCCGAACCACCCAACCTTGTCGTAGGCGGTCCATAACTTGCTAGCCTTGTTGACATCGATCTTACAAGCTTGCTGAGCATCCGTCTTCCTAAATTCTTTGCCAATCCGGAGAGCGTTGAGGCGGGCCTCGAAGATTCGTCGCTTGCTGCAGAGATAAGTTGCACAGCTCAAGCGGAGAGTGCCTGCGAGGTTGATTTCGGCCTCATGGAGCATGTTTCGATCCGGGTCATTGGACAGGTTAAGGACGTTGTTGCTAGCCCAATCTGCCTTTAGAACCTTTGGATTCCCTTTTGGAAGGGTGTCTGTAGGAGGTGCGTAGTCGGGAAGAGAGTTGTAGTCGACGTCCTCGCGCTTTGTGCCAGGCAAGCGGTCAGGCGTTGCCGAGCGTCCTTTGTCTGGATAGCCCATCAACTTGGCCATTGGTGAAGCTTTCGGGGTACGCTTGACCCTTGGGACTGGAGCCTTGGTGGGTGTTGCCACACGGTTGATGGCTCGCTTTGCCTGCTTCGGTGCTGGAGCAATGGCGACCGGAATAGCTCTTGTGCCGGGTTTGGCACAGATACGTTTTGCTTGCCAGTATTGGTCTTCCACCTCTTCCCGTTGTCTCTTCATGTAGGCACCAGGATTGCGGTTATAGAGACTACCGATCTGAGAGACGCAAGCCAGTGCAAGGCGGTACTCGTCACGCGTAGGGCGGTTGGTCTTTTTGCCACCTTGCATTGCAATGTGATTGCTGATGATGTCTTCCGTGTGCGAGTTCGAAGTTTCTGCCGGGAACAGAGGATGTTCTTCGACAGACTCAAAGGACCCTTCTGGATACAATACAGGGTCTTTGACCACCTCAGACCGCCGTTCATGACTTTGCGGCGATGCACGCTCGCCCTTTGCTCCTTTGTACCGCTTGTTCATCCATGGCGAGACTGGTGGTGATGGTAGGATTCTCAGCGTCTTGGTATCTGGAGTCGTGCTCTTTGCCATTGGCGCGAGGGTCTGTTCCGGGCTCAAGCGATAGGAATGTGCTGTGGATGGAGATTTTGCGGGTGTGATAGAGAAGCTCTCAAGTGGTTTTGCCTCCGGAGGAGACATGAGGTTCGATATTGTAGGCAAGCGTGACATGCTTGGTGGGTGTGTCGATGACTTTTGATGAATGTTGTAGGAGGAGAGATTACTGGAGGCTGGCGAGGATAGTTGTAGATGATGTGGTAGCAGGCAGAAGTCAATGGACGCCTGTGGCTGCGTTGAAAGCGATTTGTCAGGTGTACGGTGTTAAGAGGTGTTAAGAGGTGGTCCGAGAGGGTGGCAAAGGCTCGGAGGCGGGACAACGTTGGAATGTTCTAAAGGATCGATGGCCAAGAATTCATGAATTGATGATAAGAGATGGAGAGCCAGCAGTCGTTGATGATGATCTAAGATGGAAGAGCTTTGTGGAGGAAGGATGGAATGTAGAAGATGAGGGAGCCTTGTTCAGAAAGTTCAGAACAAGGCTGGCGGTGAATAGCAGGAGGAAGGAAGGAGTCAATAGGAAGGGACAATGAGTGGGGCGCAGAAAGTGAATTGGGGGGGTCAATGGTCAGGCAGCAGAGTTTGGATCAGATGATGACTGGTTCAAGATGATGACTCGCAAACGATGATGAGGCAAAGGGAAGAGGGAGAGGGAGAGGGAGAGGGAGAGCAAAAATGCTGCCTTTTCCTTCAGGTCTTGGGAAGACTAAGCGCCATTGGCATCCTGTGGTCAGCCGGCAGTGAAACGACTGGGCCGTAGGATCATAGCAGAAAGTGCTAGATGATTCCACCCGTGATTGGTCAATGGGACGGAAGAGAGACTAAACAATGTTTTCCTTTGTCCGAGATGGTGTGAGGGTGGTTCGAGCAAATAAGTCAGATGCTACCTTGGGAGTGGGAACGAGTGGAACAATAATAATGGAAATATTTTAAGTAGTAATAGTTCTTTGGAGAGTCTGAGTGAGTCAATATTTGACACCAGGCAATAAGAAGCCTAGTTTCATCTTTGCGCCACTTTGGTCCCCGGATATCTCCTTTTTCCTTTTCCCTTTCCCCAAAATGCCCTAAAAAAAGCAAATTAAGGGGTCCACTGGGCACTCAGGTCCCTCGTGCCTCCGTAGCCCTTCCCGCCTATGTACCCCATGCTTCTTAAAACACCCAAACCTCCCTGTCGCGCATATCTTGAGCCACACACAGACCCTCGGGAAGAAACTCAATTCAAAGTGCATATCCCAAGTGCATTTCTTATACACCATCTCGATACATGATACACAAACCATTCATGACCTTGAAAAGCTTCACGGAAAAGGAGAGCCAATTGCCGACCTCACAGACAAATGTGATGCTCTTGGGCGTCAGCCTTGCTCTCAATGTTCACATGCCATGGGAGCGTGGGAGATCGGCAAGAAAAGGATGCAAGCCATCGGGACGTCATGCGCATCCTTTATGCACCAATGCACTACGGTCAATTGACCTCACTCAGCCTGTGATCCGAAATGATATGTGGTCGCATTTTACTTGGACTAGTCAGTGGCGTAGTAAGAATTGGAAGCAGCGTAGATGGTCACGATGCCATTTCCGTGTATGCTTCTTTCTCCCATTGTGAGAGAAGGAACCAAAGTCTCCCACCATCTCCGAGTCCGCTTTGTGATAGAAAGTAATCAGAGTGCCTCTGTCTGAGGATTAGTCCAAACCAATAATTGGTAGGAGGGGTCATCGGGCATCACGGAACAGTATTGTAGGAGAAAAATGTCCTGAGATCGGAGACATCGGTCATCATTTCCTATCAACTTTTGAATGCTGACCAGGCCGTAAAGACATCATCAAACTAGCATACATGAGTAGCCATCGCTATGCAACACGGCCTTTGTGGCTTCAACATCATCTCTCTCTGCTCTTCGCCCTTCGATATCCCCACCAAGATTGCCTTCAATGCTTGGGTATAAAATCGTTAATGCGTGAATGCCGGAAATCAGAATACAAGAATTGTAGATTCCTCGCGGAAGCCCCCTTCAACCGCCGCCAGGCGAGATATGCAGTCGCTGTTGGAAGACAAGAAGAATGTGATGATCCACGTCCTGGCCGAGTAGAGAGGTCTGGGAGAGCTTTAATTGGGGCAAGCTGCCTGAACGTGTCCTGGCTGCTTGCACTTGTAGCAGACGCGCTCCGAAGAAGGTTCCGAGGGGCAGTCGCGGCTCAGATGTCCTTGCTCGCCACCTGTTGCGGTCAGTCAGACTTGGAAGATGCCTCCAGGAGCGGGTGTGACATACAGTTGTAGCATTTCTGGCCTTGGGTGCAGTCACGAGACATGTGGCCATAGCCTCCGCAAGAGTAGCAGGTTTGACCTAGACAGAATGGGGGATTAGTATCGAACAGACGTAGAGCGGACAACGAGAGCGAGCGAGCCTCTCCCAAAAAGGATGAGAAACATACCTCCGCCTCCTCCACGGCCTGCACCTCCTCCGTACCCTCCTCCACCGTATCCTCCACCTCCACCTCCATAGCCGCCTCCTCCACCTCCACCGTAGCCCTCGGTACAATTCCTAGCGATGTGGCCAACCTTGCCGCACTACAAGTCGTAGTCAGCGCTGCAGCGAAATCAAACCAGACTTTGTTACCTTGTAGCATTCTTGGCCGCCTCCTCCGCCAGAATATCCGCCGCCCATGCCCCCTCCTCCACCAGCACCAGCACCAGCATTGGGGCACTCTCGGCTCAGGTGGCCGACCTCATTGCAGCGGTAACAGGCCTTCTCTTTCTGAGGAGCATTGCATTCGCGAGAGACATGGCCTTCTTCGCCACCTAGTAAGGTCAGTTGACGGCTTTCGAGAGGGGCTTCTCGACACTAACAGTTGTAGCAGGTGGGGGTGCCACGCTTTGGGCAATCGCGGGCTTGATGAGAGCTGTCGCCGCCTGTTGAGATAGCGACAGGTCAGCCATGAATCTTCGCCCATGCATTGAGACATCGAGGATGCCAAGGAACGCTGGTACTAAGTACAGAGCAACCAGGGTTGGCAATGTAGAAACTGTGGGCCAGTAGGGTGCGTTGCGATCCAGGTGTTTAGTGTTGCAGCTTTTAAAATAGCAGAAGACGAGAAAAGGGCGATTCAGTAACGCACAGTTATAGCAGCCGCGCCCGCCAGGTTGCTGGTAATCCATGATTACTGGTATCTATTGATCTATGCAAGTACTTAAGGTCAGCGTGGAAGCGCCATTGATATTTCACTGAGTTTAAGCGTCGCTGCTTGAGGCTTCTGAATGGTGAGCTGTGGGTTCGCTTACTTTGGTCGAGATCGGCAAGGACTGTACCAAATCGCAATTGTCAGTGGTAAGCAACGAAAATTCAGTCGTTACAGGAGGTGATGAGGTTGTTGACAGGAAGTTTTGTTTGGTGTCAAGCATGAGATTTGCCGGGTCGTGGGGCAAAAGCGCTAAAGAAAGCTCGCTAAAGAACCCTGGATCTTGGCATCCTCGTCATTTTCAACGGACGGTCAGAAGCACAAAAGAAGTCACTGCCCAGCAGTAATCAATGCCATGACGATGTGATAAAATGCCAGATTCCAGCGCTTCTTATTCAAACATATCGACGCATTGACCTTGCTATTCAAAATCATACACCACCAACGCCTGAGTCCCTAGCATCTTCTCCCGGAGTAGTACCACTTTCTCTTCGTCGAATGCAACCCAGCCATGGGTGACAGTCGAATCGTCAAATGCTTGCTCTCGCATGAACCTAGGGCCGGCAACAGCACCAATGTCGGCTCTCGATGTGTTTTCTATTTTCGTCTCAGAGGTAGCCCTCTTAGGACGTACTCGTACGCTAGCTTCGCCTGCAGCTGCCCGTTTTCGGGATGTGCTCGAAGACATCCCACCTTCCAGCTCCCATACCCGTAGCTCGTTACCTCGTGCACTGACAGAGACAGCCTTGCCACGGTCACCAACCTGAGCTCCAGAAACGGAAGAAGTGTGGCCCCACAGCCGGCTTCCCACACCTACGCTCAGCTCCTCAGCATTTGATGTTACCATATAAAGTGTGAGCGTGTTATCCGGGTGAGCTGATAATAGATAAGGATGATTGTATGAAAGAGACGTCGGTTTACTGCCAAGAGCCATCCTCACGCCTGTAACGACTCGTTGATCCAAAGTGGTCGTACTGTAATTGTGCACTGACCGATCCAGTTGTGGATTCGACGGTGGCGATAGAGCACCTCGAGTCGCTGCAGATGCCACACGAGAATCAATGATGGTGCCATCTGGTGTTATACGGATCTCTTGCAATCCAACGGACCATCCAGACGTCCAAGTGGGCATTGCATAAGCTATCGAAGCAACGATGCTAGTTGATGAAGCCCTGATGGCAAGTGATATTGGAGGATAGGCTGTCTGCGACCTCAACGAGGATATCAAGGTCGGAGGCCGCATCATTGCATCATCGTCTACCTCTCCCTTGTTCACACCAGAGCCACCTAGATCTTCTTGGGCGTCTCCGTGAGAATTTTTCACAAGGATTTTAGGCTCCTTAGTGAAGATGGAACCCATGTTGTTTCTTCTGCCGGAACTCGACTCGAGATTGCTCATGATTTCCTCTGGTTCATGACCAAAGCGATATAGGGATAGTAGAGGTGCTCCAGTCATGGTCAGTAAATACGGTGAAGCGTACGCAATGGCATGAATCGCGCCGTTCCTGGATGGAGCATGCACATATCGGCATGCAAATCTCCTCTCATTCCGCTGTAGTGTGTAGATCGCAAAGCTGCCATCATCATACCCAACCGATATATTCACTCGATCCTTTCTTGACTGTGCTCCATCGATTGACAAAGATGTCGGACCAGCACTGCGATCATCCTTGCCCCTGTAAAATGGCGTGGTAGCAATCAGCCGATCAATTCCCTTCAGCACCCACGCTCTCAAACCAGCGACTGGGTCCGCAGTCACAACTATGTCCTCATGCAAGCGTACTAGCAGTGGAGGTTGTGAAGGGTGTTCTGCAAGTTGGGTTTCGCTGACATTTGCGCTGCCCCTTGACCAGTTATGGCGTAGCTTGTATTGTCTCTTCCAATTGGTCACGCTTCCTCTCCTTACAAGATGGTCATCATCAAGCCATTTAGATATC